TGTGTGTGTGTTTGTTTGTATTATATCCGTAGAAACAAAGACACCTAACTTTAAGAAAATCAAAAAGGAACAAACAGACAAACAAAAACAAAATAAAAAACAAATACAATCTTTTATGTCCAATGTGAACATTCTCCCCCACCCCCCTCATCAAACAAAAACAACAGCAACAACAACAACTGCAGCAGCAACGAAAACAACAATAATAACAACAACAGCAGAAGAAACAACAAAAAACAACAACAAACACCCCCAACCCCTCCCCTAAAAAACCCCCAAAACAAATAAAACACACACAAAGGAAGTGGAACAAACAAACAAACAAATAAACAATCAAACACTAATAAAAAGCAAGACATACATTTAGTCAGAGTAACAAAAACAATGAAAGCGAAATTAGACTTGAATTATATCATTACACAGAGACTTCTGAACTGCCGAAGAACTACGACACGTTCTTTTAAGCGTGTTAACATTAGTGAAAATCAAGTGTTCGCGGGCCCAACAGGCGGCATTATCGAGCGTCTTTCCGACAGCCAATCAGACGTTTACCTGTGACAAAAACAGCGCGCGCAATCGTCACAAGCGTGCTCTTGTCCCGGCGTGGCTGGCAGGCCAAACCAATTTTCCTCAAAAAAAGCTCTGTATTTAGTTAAATTAATAGCATCTTTAGAAAACAGTATACAAACGATGATTTTTATAAATTTTATATCTTCACAAGCCTGATTTCCTTGAAATTCCTGTTCTTAAGGACCGCCGGATCTTCTTTATTTTCTGCGAAACGTTATAAATCCGAGGTAAGTTGTTTATTTCTTGTTGTGAAACTTCGTGCCTCCACGTGTTTGGGGCGATATTAGGTCTTTGCTGTGAAGAAGACAATTCAAAACTTATATGTTTTTTGGTTTTTTTATTCTTTGACGGTTGTTTTTTTTTCATTTTGTTTTCAAATTTGTTAGAGTGGGGAAAATGATCGGATTGTGGTCATTTTAGTTGTAAGCGATCTTAAGTTACTATCTAATAATGATCTCCTTTCTCACATAAACTATGACTATGAATAACCCACTGTGGACGCGCATGTTGCTCACTGTAAGACACGTTGCTTTTGGATATTTTAGAAAAAGAAGCATAACTTCGTTGGTCATGCAAACTTTCAATTGTTTTCTTTATCTAAAACTTTAAATTAAAACGGCATGTAACAACGAGTAACTATGAAGTATTCCATTACGTTTTTCTAGTTGTGCAGATTGGTTCGAAATGTACCCTATATACAGTATATGCGTGTGTGTGTGTGTGTGTGTGTGTGTGTGTGTGTGTGTGTGTGTGTGTGTGTGTGTATTTCTATGCCAATGGGAAATAATTTTTGTCTCTTACGCCTTTAAAGAATTTTTAAAAACATTATTTGCTTGCTGTCTGTTCGACCCCGAGCCCGGTGAAAGACAAATCTTATCTAGAGTGCGATTGCTGATCAAGACTTTCCTGTTGCTTTTTTTGTTGTTGTATAAAGACCCACTGTGATCGAGTGTTTTCTTCCGTCACCCGTTGCCAAGGAGAAAAGTGGCCGACTTATACAGGTGCCCTTTTTACACAGCCATAATAGTGTGAAAAAGACAAAGAGGAAAATGGGAAGTGGCTGTTTGTACACACGTGGCTTTTCAACAGGTTCGGCTGAAGATTCAACTTCTGACTTTTCAAGAGAGTTCTTCGTTTTTTATCAAGAAACATTATTATTAATGTCTCATCTCAATTTAAGGGGGTGGGGGGGTGGGGGGGCGGTTCTTCATTTTCTAGGGTGCATACTACTGCAGCATAGATGCAACATCCTGTGAGTGTCTAGTAATAATATGTCAACAATTGTGGTTGGATAAATTATACCAACCGCAAATACATAAATATACAAGTAGAGTGTATATTATTTCAAAGAGATATTCTTAAGATCTCCCCCCCCCCCCTCTGTCTGTCTGTCTGTCTGTCTGTCTGTCTGTCTGTCTGTCTGTCTGTCTGTCTGTCTGTCTGTCTGTCTGTTTCTTTCTCTGTCTCTCTCCCTCCCCCCCCCATCTCTCTCTCTCTCTCTCTCTCTCTCTCTCTCTCTCTCTCTTTCTCTTTCTCTTTCTCTCTCCTTCTCTCCCCCCCTCTCTCCGTGTGAGCGCAGAGTATCAAAAGTGTACACGCCCCCCCCCCCCCAACCATTCACGAATACAACACTCGATCCCACCTGCTTGCTTATTATGCTCATACATGTAGTAAGTTGTACTCTCACAGTGTAACGCAGATAGAGACAAAGTCGAACCTGCTGTGACCACCAGTCCTGTCAGAGACAATCCTCTGAACAAACGACCTCTTCTCACTCCCACCCCCCACCACCCACACCACAGAAAAAATCATGTTTTAAAAGGTATTCTTTTATCTTCCCTCCCGACTCACACTAAGCTATCAGTTGTCCATTTCCTACTATATTATTATATTGATGCGCTGAACACGGATATTAACCTCCATTTCCATCGCAAATTAAGAGTTTTTTAAAAGTTCAATTGTTCTTAATAGAGTTATATCACATTATGCCTAACTGCGTAGTAATTTGCGCCGCGCTTTGGACCAATTGGGTGTGGTTTGGGGGGGGGGGAGGGGGTTAGTGGGGGTAAAAAAAAATATGGGTAGTTACAGGAGGGAATGCCCCTCTGTTTTAATTGAGATGTGTGGCATTCTGGGTTTTAACCCATAATTTGATATTTTACAGTTAGGTTTGAACATTTCTTGAAAATAATTGATGTTCGACAGTTTTGGTGGCTTTATGTGTGATCAACAGTAAACAATACTGCTTTTTGACCCCTGAAGCAGTGCATCTATGTGCGGGGGGGAAAGTAAAAATTTACCCCAAAATATTATATCGTGATGGCATTGTCCAACACAGGCCCTTGGGCGAAATAAAATAAAAAATGACTTAAGACCTTGAGACTCTAGGACTACAAGCCTTGTGATGGCAGTTCACAACTGATGGCTGTGACCGGTTCGACTTTCGTCCTTGAAAAATAAAGTGTTTCGATTTTAAAGGAAACCGTCGAATTCTGCCAAATTGTGTCAAAATGATAGCTTTTTGCCCTTCCAAGGAAAAAAAATTCTGATTGGCCACGGCTCAGTTCCACTGAACTCAATGGGCGGTCTGCTCTGGGAATTACCTCTCACCTTACGATCAGTCCTATTTGCCCTTTTCGTATAACTAGACGTTTGTACTGGGAAAATTCCTATTTTCGTTTAGTTTTAGTAGAGGTTTTAGGGCGCTCGCAACTGCATAAGGTCATATTATGAGCCCCACGAGATTAGAGGTGTTACAAGAGAGTAACAAACAAAATAAGAAGAAGGGGAGATAAGGACGATAGGAAGGAAGAGTTTAGAGTTGCCAGTAAGAGGAAACAAATCAATGACTGAAAAGGCGCATCATAATTAAATCCTTTATTCTTCCGCTCCCTTTTCG